TCTATTAACAATACTAAATCGCAGTACAGAAATTGTGTGATGATAACAAAATTTTCCCGTATAGTTTCAAATAGTTAAAACCGCTGCGAACGTCGTCGTGGTTCAGCTGGGTGTAGATCGAGGAAAGCCTGCTCATCAGGCTCGCCTGCTAGCATGTTTTCCAGTTGCTTGATGTACATGATTGCTATCCTGTCAGAAACGGAAGAAAAAAATAATGAAGAGAACTAGATATTTTCTTCGGACTTCACCCGCCTAAATTAAAGCCTATTTCACCCGCGTGCGTATGATGAAGCTTCCCGTACGATAATCTGTGCCGTAGGTAAAAAAAAATTAAATCGGCCCAGTAGATTCAGAGCCTATTCGATGCAAACAAACAATCAAATCTTTTCTCTTTATATTATTATGCTCGTACTGATAAGATATAACAGTTGTTTAGTTACACATAGTTCTGTTCATGTCATTTCAATGTGATTAGTTTGAGTGAAAATGACAAAATACTTACTATATTTACACTTAAATAAACGCTCGTAGATGCCGTAGGCATAAATTAGATTAATAGCTAACAGTTAAGTCCATTAAATAAATACCCAAGTTGGGTGGACTATGGAAGGCCATGTTCCTTCGAAGGCCAACTATAAAAAATCATAGTTAATGTCATATGATGACAAATTCCTTCCACTCACACTAGGCTCTATCAAACCTATGGACACAGACGAAGCGGCAAGTCGCTTGTGACGCTAGTTTATAATTATAAAGTATTGATCTAGTAATGACATGGTTTTTGTAAATGTCATTACTCCAATTAGAGCTGGTGAATTTCTTGTTCGTTCTTCTTGTCAGCCAAAAGACGTCCTGAACGAGCGGTAGGGACAACAATTTTGGACGATAAGTACTTTTAACCCGTAAATGAACTAAGAAAAATTGTTTATTCATTAGTGTGGCCTTCCATGGTCCACTCACCTTACATAGTTTTCTTATTTCTTAATTAGAGTTAGGAAAAAATACATTTTGAAGGATTGGTTTTTCAATATTCCAAAATTACCGGAGACATTCAATCTTGGAATATTTCTTTTTAGAAGGCTTAGTGACTGGCAATTTAGAACGCAGAAGGTCGAAAGCTCTGTTCATATCCCTCATACGCGTCCGCTCCCTGTCGCACGCTGTCTTCTTGTATTCTGTAAAGATTCATTGATTTACCTATTTTATGGCTGGGCGTAGATTGTTTCTTTCTCATTGTACCTCACTGCGTCTGACATAGAGATAGGGACAGAGGTTGACGAATGGCGCAGTAAAAACGATTTTAAATTAAGTTATTACTCGCAAAGCATTAAGAAAGGAATTCTATGGCCCACAACGCGCTTGTTCGGTGTTACGGTTGTTAAATAATTTTTGGCCAGTCGTACGATGGATAACCAATAATTTATTTTCTCTCCCCTCCGTGCTTCAGAAGGCACTTTAAGCCATTGGTCTCGGCTGTATTTACAGTCGTTAACACCCATCAATCCACACTGAGCCCGCGTGGTGGGTTATTCTAGCCCGTTCTCCCTATTCCATTCAATTCGATTCCATTCATAAGGAAGGCCTGATCCCTAGTATTGGGGACATTAACAGGCTGATGGTGGTGGTGAAACCATTACGACTATTGTAAAAGTGTTGCATATTGCTTTCGGCTATAAATTGACTCACATAGAGACTGCGAGACGAATCAAAAAACTTGGTGATTTTTTATTGTATCAAATCCGTTTTTTCATTATAGCTTAATTTGATGTTATTTCGTGGTACAAGTTTATTTAAAAGTACGTTACAAACTATCCCTTTCTACTCAAAGGACGGCAGGGTCTGTGATTTCCTCCGCTAACTGATCTAGTTACTAGCAGGTCAAAGGCTTGGAGCTTACCGAGTTATGAGTGAACTTACCTCTTTCAAGCTGCAGCGCTCGTTCCTTCCAGTTTAATGTAGTGTCTTGTCCAGGATCCTCGCCGTACTTGCTTGTATCCTGGGACTCATGTGAGAAGTCCAGTGATGATTCTGAATTAGCGGTCTCCTGGACTACAGTCTCTCGATATTCTTGTTCGTAATATCTGGGAACTTACCAGAAACAATGAACTCGTAAGGCTCGCTTGCTGGATTTATAGTATCGATCTCCCTACATTGGATCTAACTACATTGTATTCAATTTTCATATTACAAGTTTTAGCTAGGTACTCTGCTAGTAATATTACCTAAGTACTAATAAGTCTATTGAAGAAAAACTGTCTTTATTGACAAACTTTGTAGGTACAGATAATATTCTAGCTAAATGAAACTGCAAATTTTCCAAATAAGTTTCTTTAGAAATAAAGTCTTTTTATAAGCTGTTATTTAACTTGCCTTGGTCAAATCTTTTCAGCTTTCGACGCACTTCCCGGTTTTCGATCGAGTTGAAATTTTTGCATACTTAAATACACATATAACTTGAATCGCAATGCAATACAGATATGGAATGAAGCTAATCCGATGATAGAGTCAGAAGTTAGCCATGGGATCTCTGGAATTAAATGAAGAATCCCCAACTAGTTCTGACACTGACACGTTTGATTTGTCTTGATAATTACTTAGGTCCGAGATAAAATACTCCTTCAACATTAAAACCAAAACATTGAGCCAACATTTTCTAGAGATTATCTTGCTGATATTACAAAGGCGAAAGTTTGTAGGTTAAGATAGGTGTTCGCTAATTGTCAAAGGATAATTTTAAACTTACGTAGTTCCCTAGCTAGCTAGCTCGATAATAAAACTTACCGTCATGCACTGTATTATCCAATTCATGTGGCCTAAAATATGTAAATCTCCTCGGCTCGTAATCGTCTAGTACGTACGACCTATGATGCGATATGGTTTTATCGTACTTCTTATGAGAGAACGTGTGCTCTTCTCGCGGCTTGTCATCCTGCCGGCCAATTTCAAGAAGAACTCTTTCCTCTTCCCTCTTTTCTTCATCTTCACCTTCTTTAACCACAGTGTAATTCGCTATTAGAGGTATTGGTGCTTCGTCATCATAGGTCTGATTATACATTTCGTGTAAGTGAATAATGACCACAAACTTTCACTATTTATGTTCACAAAAAAAAACATTTACTAATTTAAAGATTTAGTTAATAACTCGTGCTACTTTAAGAGGTGTTAAGTAAGGACTGTGTCATCCACTCTCGCGCACTATTGTCATGCATATTGGATCAAAGTAGTCGGTGTACACAAGTGTTTTGCTACACAATTTTAGTTTTCCAGAGGGTCCCGACTATTGTTTGTGGTACTATTGTTTTGTTCTTATTTGTTTTGGTACGATTGTTATTGTAAAACGTAGAGCCTTAAATGCATATGGAATACGAATCATAACGAAATAATATCTATTCCAATATAGAAAACGAAATATATTAAACTAACATAGTGGAGGTTCTATTATATTAAATAAAAATGCGTGAATCCAGTAAGTATCAAAATTTTTATTTCGACAGTGATTAATTGAATTATAAACACTTTTATGCTTTAAGCACAGCCATAATGGTTTTTTAAGAAATATTATAAATAAGGCCTTTTAAAGTGATTTATTTACAATTAAAAATAAATACACAATTCGCATTTTTAACTATAGAATTATATTGAAGTAAGATGTTTTTACATTTTCAAATAATACTTTCTTATATGTATACACAATGAAAATAACAATCACAACTTCGTAAATAAAAGGCATAAAGCCTTTTAAAAATTGGAATATTGAATAATATCGCTGTGTATGTTTTAGAAACCTTCTGACTCAAATGTGGATAGATACTCTCTCATAAACAACAAATTATTTTATTGAATACGGGTGTAGACATTAAACGAAAATAAATACATATTATTTTTTTTTCTGGTGGTGATACTATTACTGATAATCACACTTTTATGTTTATAATATTGCGTAAATTAATTAGGAAAAGACAAATATTTAATACTCGTTGTCACGTTATTGCAAAAAGCGCCTGACGCTCTTTTTACTTATATCAGAACTTGGAGAATTCAACTTTATGCATATATTATGTACAACGTTATTATTTCAGAGGGTTGTGACGTCATAGCGACGCCATGACTGGTTTGACGTTTTCGTGGAGATTTTGAAAATTAAATTTGTTTTTCGATACATGTTATGTATATCTATAATATAAAAAAGTTGTCTACACCCCTAATACCAATATTTTAATAGCGAGGATTTTATCGATTCATTCTATATCATACATAATACGGACATGAGATAAAAACATTTTTACGGTAATTCACATACCATCTACACGCTGTGAAAGACAAACGAGGCATTTTATTTCTAAAATACTTTTATAATTTCCATCTATAAATAATTAAAATATATGGTTTCATATGTAAGCATGTTATTACGTTAAGAGGAGGCTTCGAACCAAGACTATCCAATCCATCTTGCATCCACATCTATCCATCATCACCACTATATCTCATTGCACCTTGCAATAAAATAAATAAGGACAGAAAATGGCGAACGCGGCAAAAACGGTTTATAAACAACTATAAAATGAGCATCCTAGTAACTACTAGGAGAAATGGAAAAAACGGTGAATTTTAGGGGTGGCTATCATTTTTTAAAACTATTTTTTAATTAACACTATTATATTGCAAATTACTAATCAAGTATGAATTTAATAAATAACCTAACAAGCATATCTTTGAAAGCTATGATTATATAAATTAATAAGTATAATAATACTAATACAATAAATACAAGACTGCATAGATTGCTTAGATTACAATTTAAGTAAGTATCTAAATCCCGTGTTATGGAAATCTGAACAACAAAGGTACCAAGAAATTCGAACTTGCTAACCCTGTAACTATTTGCTACATATTTATTTACCAGGAATATGGATACAAACAATATAACCAAACAACCAATCACAATAGCAGGGGTCGGTAACCGCCGGCTCTCAAGTTACATTTACAATAATAAAAATAACTTGAAGAATTTAAGTGTTTATTTTTCATTAAAATTCGTATCCATAAGATATATAGAAACTATAAACTACTAATAGTAAGCATCGAAACTATGTTGTGTCATTTTATTTTATTAAATAGGTAGGGTAACTTACTTAAACAGTTAATTTTTAACTAACTTAAACAGTTAATCACCATACCTATTTAATAAAACATATCAATAAATATGTTTCCCTAATAATCATACCGCATTATGTTATCACTGACTTAAAAATTAGGAAATAATTTAAATTAAGTTCGTAACTTGAATAAAAATTATATTAGCGAAAAAGCAAAAGCAGTCTGTGATAAAAAAGGTTTGGTGCTAATTCCCATAAACAAAAAATTTAATTAACTGAAACATTTGTAGTGAAACACCACACATAAATTACATTCTCACTTAGTGATAAAAACTAGTTTCAATAATACCAATCAGTTTCCATCGAACAAAATCTTGTACAATATTGACCTAAAGCGACGTCTTAAAATTCTAGTTTCCGTAGCTCGAAGAACTGCCGTAGTACATCGTCTGTGACTTGAGCTCTACGCGTCTGGTACTGTTGTATTACAGGTGTGATGGTATCTATTGCTATCCTCTTTAACTCACCAGTCAGCAGTTCGCCAGACTCGTACATTTTTTTAACCTATCAACATTGAAAGAAATCGTTTAAGAATTAATCTGAACAGAAAGAGAGTGTAACAATTTTTTTTTTTCACTTGGAAAATTAATGACAGATGACACCAGAATTCTGATGATTTGGCGAGTAATGGTGTGGAAAATTATATTTTTCCACCTCCTACCGCGCTATCGATGAGGATTGAAGTGCGTTTATTTCTGATCAATACTATAGTGAGTACAAAAAATATGCTGGCATTTTTCTTGATTTATTCATTTTACTTAAGGCGAAATTGTTCGAAATTACCACTTTTAAATCAATTTCATTATAACTTATACTTGTCAAATAAAGGTGATTTTATGAAAATTAAACATATGATACATTGTTAAAAACAGAAACATAAATGGCAGTAATCGGCTTGGTAGAAAAAAATCGCAAAGATGAGTCTAAATAGATTTTTTTGAATCGATTTTAGGACTAATATATTTCATTTTAAATAGGTTTTGATATGATCTAAAAAGCATACAAAAAATATTAATTGCATTTCTTTTTTTCCTATTAAAAATGTATGAAATAAAGCGATAGCGTCTTTACTCTCGATGCGTATTTATATGGGAAAGTAAGCGAAAATACAAGAGGGCCTTTAGCGAAAAGCTGCTCGAATTTTCATTTGCCCGAGAATTTCATGTGTCTCTACAATAAACTATGACGAGTTTCCCTTATTACTGTATATATTTATTGAACTTTCTAATTGTGTAAACAGTAATTTTTATCTAACTAATCTATAAGCAAACTGTGGTTTTACAGTTGTTAATATAAATATGTTGGTAAAGTAGTGCACAGACAAACCTTTCTGGTTTTTGTTGCACTAAGGGCGCTTGTGCACTACACTGAATTTTCAGGTCCGGCGGTCCGATTTTTTCCGGTCCGGAATGACATGAAAAACTCGGATGAGTAGCTTGTGCACTTGTCCGTTTTTTTCCTGATCGGAGCGGCGCAGTGTAGGGCAGCTCTCTTTGAAGCTACACGTCACTTACGCTAGGTACGATGAGATTTTTGGAACGTTGGTAATTCCGTTCAAAGACGTAGAAAGGTACCTAAATAATGATCTGATCGTTTACATAAACCATAATAAATTATGGCAAGACGAAAGGATTTTTTTTACTACTATCGGATGACTACTATCAGATGTAAAAACTTATACCCTTACTAATTTAGTAACAGCATTATTCACATACAATAGCTAAAAATATCTGTGACATTAGAATAAAATTACTGATAATGGTCTAGTACTTGATGTTTAAATTTTTAAACGTGCAATTTTTTTTCGAAGTTTTAATTACAGAAATAGACCAATCGGTGGCGCCATTTCGTAAACAAATCGAAATTAGTGACGTGTTAGCGGAGAATAGCGGAGAACTTTACGAGATCAGTTGACTGCATTATATAAAAACATAATTTTATACGCGTGGTATAGTTTCTTTGAGCAGAAATATTATTCCCTTAGAATACTTTTTTTTAAATTTATTAATGACACAAACATACATTTAAAATTTTATTAATGCGAAAAAGACATTGAGTGTCACTTAATTGCTTTTGTTAATCTTCTGTTTATTCTTTATTATTACTTCTGTTGTCAAATATTTATCTATACTTATCAATTGTTTAAAAAAAATTTGATAATGACAAATTTCCAGGCAAACTTTCATCCCCTATTTTTTGCGATAAAATGTAGCCTATGCCTTTCTTAGAGTTAAGTCTATTTACTATATTAATTTCCATTTAGATGGGTTCAGTTGTCTAAACGTAACGACACTTATTTATCTTACTTAAGCTATCGATACTTTTAATGCGATTCTAAAATCTAGCTAAGTATCGATACTAGAACCATATGCTGATCAAATTAGAACTATACCGAGTTTGCCAAAGCATATGCAGTGATATATACCAACTATATTTAATCATCATATAAAATATAGCATTTTATTATCAACAATAAATATCGATTATAAGTTTATTGGAAATTAACAATATTGCCGAAATAAATATCGATTCAAATCGATTATTTTTTCCCAAGCCTATTCCTTATGAATTTTCCGGATCTCGGACACAGCAGTGCACAAGCGTAAACACGTTTTTCACTGCCGCCATCACGGACCTGAAAAAACCGGTCCGGAATAGAGAAAAGTAAAATTCCGGACGGTAAAATTCCTGACAGTGCACAAGCGCGCATTACCTACCTATGGCCTGACATATCGGACCGGAAAAAATCGGACCGCCGGACCTGAAAATTCAGTGTAGTGCACAAGCGCCCTAAGTGATACGATTGATATGTAATTATTATTAATCAATAAATAAAAACATCTAACATCTTTCGCTCTAAATACGATTTTTGTGCAATAAACTACTGCTGAAATTCCATAAATCATTATTTCCTTATTCTATTAATATTCTTACCTCAGCTAATCTCTCGTCATCCTCAAGGAAGAATTTTAAGTATTGGTAAGATATGTCTACTTGTGTATTTCCTCCCTTCTGCCTGTGTTCCTCTATAGTCGGTTGGCCACCGGAAAATGCGTATTTGTTGATCTAGTACAAGAATAATTTGATTTATTAAAATCTGATATTTTATATTTATATTAAAATGAAAATGATTAAATAATTTCTCTCTAAACTCCAAAAAAAAAGTGAGGTCTAAAGGGTATTTTAGTGATTACGGAAAAAAATCTAAATATATACAATTGAGATAGCTTACGCAATAAGCAGTGTAAAAATCTTAGTTTCAGTTCTTAAATAAAGAAATTATAATTTTTTATATTCAAATCAAAGTTTTCAATATTTAGTCTGCGTTTTCATTACGCGAATCAGTAGCCATCATGATATGACATCATTCGGTTTGTAAACAAACAAGCAAAATAAGTTTTCAAGCAAGATAACACGTTTAGAGGTTATTTTTTTTAATATTATCATCATCATCATATCAGCCGGGAGACGCCCACTGCTGGGCATAGGCCTCCCCCAAAGATCTCCAACGTGATCGGTCCTGCGCCTCCCGCATCCAGCGGCTTACCACGACCTTTACCAGATCGTCGGTCCACCTTGTGGGGGGCCTACCAACACTGCTTCTCCCGGTACGCGGTTCAGGCGCCACTCCAGGACCTTAACGGCCGTCAGTCCTGCAAGCGATGTGCCCTGCCCACTGCCACTTGAGGTTCGCAATTCTTTGGGCTGTGTCGGTAACTTTCGTTCTTTTGCGGATCTCATCGTTTCTGATTCGATCTCGCAAAGAAACCCCGAGCATAGCCCTTTCCATTGCCCTCTGAACGACCTTGAGCTTCCTTATGAGGCCCATCGTAAGCGGCCACGTCTCAGATCCGTATGTCATGTCTGGCAACACGCACGAATTAAAGACTTTCGTCTTGAGACAATATTTTATTGATGATATAATAAAAAGTATTTTTTTAAATAAAATAATACCACGGCACAGGCTTTTGTAAAAAGGGATTGCACAAATTTAGCAATAGTAAACACTTATCGTCGAGAAACTTTTAGCCGGGTTTTACCAGATAGGTTTAAGACTTAAGGTTGTATTTCCTCTGCGTTAAAGAAAATGGTAAAATGACAAATAATGTACCTTATTCTTGATCTGTTTGGGTGTGTCGTTCAAGAAGATAGAAGCGTTGGGATCACTAGAGGACATCTTATGTTGGGCTCCCTGCAGGGCGGGCAGGAAGGAAGCGTGAAGTAACGCCGGCTTGGGCAGCTTCAGACGCGCCGCTACATCACGCGTCATACGAAAATATGGATCCTGGTCGATTGCGCACGGTACTAAACATGGTAACTGCAAAGAAATACCAAATAAACCTTAAAGTTGGGTTTTTTTAATGTTGACACACTACCACATTCCTCACTCAGGTGTCCTTTAACACAAGGGTTGTCTGGCGATAACACCGCCTTTGTCCACTAGAATTAAGAAACTATCTGCAAACTTTTCATTTGTGTGAGCATTAGCAATAAATTGTCTATCTATATTAAAGAAATCAATCATCACCATATTTTTTTAAAGCATTATAATAAAAATAGTACTAATAAAATGGTATTATATGGTATTAATAGTACAAATATATTTGATACATTTAGAATTTACAATAATTCTATGCTATTCTATTTGTCTATAAGATAAACTAGAATGTTAGATCTATTTTTCTATGCTATTTTGCCATTCTACCATGCGACACATCTAGGCAGTGTAATAATATTAAGCTGCTCTTACACAGTTTATACATATAGCTATACATAATAAAATCCTTGAAAATATCATGAAAACAAAACACAATTACACAGCTCAGTATACATAGTTCTAAAAACTGTACCTGCTTCTATGCAAGTGACAAATTAGTGACTGACTGACGCGCCACTAGCATAGAAAAAAACTAATTTGCTGTTTAAAAAAAATTTCGATATTTATTTAATTGAAATAAAGTTGAGATTGTAAAAAATTTTTAGGGCAAAACTACGTTTTGTTAATTTTCTTTGTATTCCCAGACGATTTTTTCTATTTTCCAATGCCATTATTTGAAGTACTGGACATTTTATTACTGTACTAAAATATTTCTCTAACATTATTAAAAGTGGTAACAACCTTTTCAAAACACATTATACTTTTTAAAACTCACCACATTATCCCCAAATATAAAAGGGAAGGAGGTGGAGAAAGCGGGGGCAGCCTCTATGGACGGAAAACTGATTTTTCCTATGACATCGGATTCTCCGAACCCAAAAATTCCTTTAGCCTGGTTGAAGGTCACGCATTTTTGTATCCGTACCATGTTCTGATAGAATGCTGGGCATTTCCTAAAAATTTGAAAAGTTCTTATAAATCATTTACTATAAAAGAATAAAAGTGCATAATTAAATGCACCAGGAAAGGAATTTTAGAAAGCTTTATATGAAAACATTTTACGGACATTTCTACTAGAGATGAAAGGGATATCCGGTTACTATCAGGTATCCGGCTTATCCGGCCTTATTTTTACTATCCGGCCGAATACCGGATAGGGTGTCAATATGCGGCCGGATACCAGTTAGTAAAATAAACATTCATCTCATTATTTTACACAAGGAAAATTATACCACTTTACATAGATTTATTAATTAGTTTAATACTCAAAATTAACAAGTGACAAATTGTGGTGAATGAATACAAAACTTTCTGCTTTTGTTGGTAAGAAGCGACTCCGCTTTGCTTCATATACCAGGCCAGCTTCAGGGAATTCCTATTTTAAGTATTTGTCCGAGTTTATGTCGGCAATTTTATCTCTGCCACACTCGAATGTTGAATGCGAAAGAGTTTTTAGCAAAGTAAATGACATAAAAACTAAAAAACGGAATGAGGAAGTATATAAAAAACAAAAGATAGCACTAAAAAAGCACCTCCAATAGAAGGCGACTCTAGCAAAAGTTGATTTTTGCGGCAAACAAATTGACCAAAAACAGTCATTTCAATTCCTTTTAGCTTACATATTAAAAAACTAAAATTTTAAAACTTCGTAACTTAGATATCAATACAAATACGAAAAAGTACAAATAGAATATGAGTTGTTTATTGAGTTTTGAAAACTAATTTACTTTTAAACTTGAAAGAAAACCGGAGATGTTGTCATGGAGAAATCAAGAACGTACGGTAGCGACATCTAGTTTGATTTCGGGAACAATTTTTTTTAATTCTTCCTCATTAACTTCTTGCGAGATCGATTAAAGTATTTTTTATCGCAACAGGCCATACAGCGGCACAACATAAATTGTATTGTTTTTTTCGCATCGATACAATGTTTTAAAAGTATATAATAAATATGTATAAAAATACCGAAATAATTTTACTGTCCGATTTTCATTAATAATGACGTGTTTTTTTCTACTCTGACCCAAAACGTATTGCTAAATATTCAAAGTAGTTCTACCGTATTCCAAATGAAAAATCCTCCATAATTTTGAAAAAAGGAAAACAGATTTCTACCATCCGCTAGATTACAGAGTTGGTAACACTGCTTATACTTAACACGGTATAGATTCAAATCAAACCGATCGGGTCATGTAATGCGATAAAGGCCGAATATCCGGCGTTCCGGCCTTGCCGAATATCCGGTATCCGGTATACGGCCAAATCACTATCCATTACATCTCTAATTTCTAAACACTAGTATGAGCCAAATCCTCAGAATTCTGAAGATCACCTGTCATTCATTTGCATAGTGTTAGTCAATCTTTCCACTTTCATCTCTTTTAAATATTAGTGCAAAATGATTCTTTGTTATCCTTAATGTTAATTTGCAGTCTGATTTGGAATAGTATTATTGCTTGTGTGTAACTTACCCGATAAAGTCAAGATCATTAAATATAAAAGTGTTGGCAGGATCAAACCCGGCAGCTATAATGTCTTTTGCATTATTAAATGCCATTTTACGGGCATCTTCCACTTTAATGTCTCTCCAGAGAGCTTTCTCATCATCTGTCAGCTGAATAACGAGTGGAACTTTAAATACATCTTGCAGCCATCTGAAATCAATTTTCATTGTACAATAAACCTGCTTGTACACTTGGTTGTATGTCAGTATATCAAATTCTACTTTGAGATATTGGGATTTTGACCTCTACCATCAATGTATTTGGCAGTTTTGTATAGTTTGACATGCTATTATAATAACCATATAAATAATAACATTAGTAATATTAATAGTTACATTGCTTAAATCCAAAATGACGTAACTATAAGCTGTATTAGGAAAATCTGATTCATCACAACTATCTGAGAACTTAAAGAAAAAGTTTTAAACAAACTTGGCATCTCAAAGATTGGACACCTTGAAACACAAATGCAAGTTACTGGAACCAATAATCAAACACTTGATTTTATTAAGGATAATTAAGCAAAAGCTGACCAAATAATAACCTTAGGGGATAATTGTGGTTTATTATAATATTGACACAAAGGCCAGTCATCAGATGGAAGGACTTAAATGTACTATTAATGTTCTCCTCTCTACTTCAGAATACATGTTAAGTCATTGTTCCTGATTGCATCTACAATAGCACTTAATAGGTTAAATATAGCCCATTCATCCATTATTTACATGGGTAAGGTATTGATATAAGAAGCTTTATCAGATATATTAACCATGTGTATACGTCATATGTCATATTTCACTAACATAACAATGTAACATGAATTCAGGAATATAATTTCATAAATGCAATAATATGTAAAAGAATAAGTTTTCTTAACAGGATTAAAAAATATTTAATTCTTGTATATCTACAATAATCAAAAAGTTACAGAAGATTGATATACATACTTTGTGAACATAAATGGTATTATATGACCAATGTGCATGCTTTCTGAGGAAGGGCCTCTACCAGTATACAAGTAGAACTTTTTGCCGGATTCATAATGGTTCAATATTGTGTGTAGATCCCTATGTGAGAAAAATATCCCTCGTCTCAAAAGGTGATGAGCTAAAAGGTAGGAGGAAAAATTTTATTGTCTAAAAGGATATCACTTTAAATACTTTTTGTATATACTTTTAAATTTGTATAAATATATATTGACGCTGGAAAGCAAACACGTAGTAACCTGCAAAACCAAAATCGTCCTTCAGAGTAGAAAAACTTTTATTTTTTTGATAAAGAATTCCTATAAATGTCCATGGTAATATATACACCTTATTTAGTCAATTTATACTTATTTCCTTAGTCAATTTATACAGAAATAAGATTTCTTTTTTAATATAAAGTTTTTCCACTTTAAATATCCATTTTGGTTTTGCAGGTTACTATGTGTTTGCTTTCCAGTGTTGATATTGTAGTTTTTAGTTAAACATCACTTTTAAGCAAATAGCAACACATGCAAAGAAATAACCTCACCTTTTCTTCCAGTTACTTTTTCAAATCTTTCTATGAGAGCCTCATCAATTTTTTGACTTCCAAATCTTTCTGAAATAATAATATCAGAAATTATTAAAAATATCAGATTAATTATTTTAAGGACATAATTATAAGAATGAAATAAATAATGCTCTGCAAAAGTCTACTATTATGATACACATTACAAATCATTATCATCTTTTCATTATAAGGATATGAGTGCATTTATAGGAACAGTCAAATTTTCACAAGTTGCTGATGACTGTAGCCAGTTGATGTAACAAAAATCACTAGCTTTTAGTTAACCTATTGCAGACATTGATTAAAATAATTGACATGTAGGAAAAATCAGCAAAAAAACCTGAAGAGAAATAATATAGTAATACAAATAGGTGAGCAATCATTTTTTTATGATAAATGTTATTTATATTGCTGATTTGGTTTTAACAGTACTTTGTATATGTTTATTTATTATTGGAGCTTTATTATGAAACAGATTATATAAGAACTAGAAGAATTTAGTTAATCATCAATATATTTTTTACTATAAATTTTACAGTTCAATTTAATTCTAAGCACATACAAGCTCCACAATCATAAAAAAATATGATTTCCCAGAATGTTTCAGGCTGTGACTTTTTAATATTGCAAGGGAAACATCCCATCCCATCACAGGTGACTGGCCTACCTGATAAATATTTTTATTTTATCAGAGGTTTAAAATGAGGCACTAATACAATTAGATAAAATATTATTTAATGAGGATTGTAAACTTACTGATTAGTTTTTCATAATCTATCCCAGTTTCAGATTTACTAGCTACATTCCATGGATCGACAATATCTTCTTCGTCATCCTTGAGTGACAAATTATTAATTTGTCCCTCTTCCATTGCCTAAAAAATTAATTACATATATAAATATTTATTAGACAGTTGAATAGTTACCTTATGAGCCCAATTTGAAGTGTGAGGTTATCTCCAGCCCTTTTACATCCCCACTGCAGGGGCTCAGGCCTTCCTTATGGATAGTTAAGGAGGATGGGCCATGACCCTCCACACTGGCCCAATGCGGATTGGAGGCTATTAACGACTGCAAATGCAGCCGGGACCAACGGCTTAACGTGCCTTCCGAAGCACGGAGTAACTCGAGATAATAATTGTTTGGTCACCCATCCCGTGACCGACCCTAGCGAAAGTTGCTTAACGACTAAGATCGCGGGCCGCGGCGCTATTCCACTACGCCACCGAGCTACTCTATGGTTATAGTGGCTAGATTTAGTAATAGGTAGTAGTAGTTTCGTCCATGGGACAGGCCAAGACGGCTAGGTTTAACAAACACGCAAAAATCTTGGGGTCCCACAAATAATACTTTTGAGTTAAAAATCATAATCGTTTGTTATTTTGATGACACAGGTCTACAATCACAGGTCATTAATACTTATTGTGGCTTGTTTTTAGAATATCAAACATGGTACTAAAAGTTTTATAGGTTATGTAAAGTTTCCACGTAACTTACTCTTACTGTAGATAATATTAATTAATAATAACTACTGATGCTATAATGATATTATCTTTGCACGGAAGCAAGCGATCCAGTCATAAGACAAAATATAGTTTTTGTTGGAAATAAATTTCTATTAAAATCAATATAAGTTCCGTCTATTTGACATTGACATCAGGTATTTTATTGCAGGCTAGCGATGCGACTCGAGTCAATAAAGTGATTTTTTTAAAGTCATACTCAAGTGAAAAAATATATCACTCGTGTTATCAAGTCACATAGACGTATATAAGGGGGGGGGGGGGTCTTGGGGGTCCGGTAGTTGTTTATTGAGTTTTGAAAATTAATTTACTTTTATACATGAATGTAAACCGGAAGAGTTGTCATGAAGAAATAAAGAAAGTACCGTAGCGACATCTAGTTTGATTTCGAGAACTAATGTTATTCGAGTCACAAAATCCTACTAGAGTTGCATCACTATGGCAGACACGAATTGACATTAAGGAATCGAACCCGGGACCTCTATGGGTTTAATTGACATTAAAGTTATGTTGGTTGAAAAAGTTGACATCATTAGTCTGCAGATAGCTTTAGGCAAAGAGCAAACATAAACGATAAATTTGTCGATCTTTAAAATGTAAAATATATTTATTAATACATCTCAACATTGATAATTTATTTCAATTAACGTATTATAGTTGATAAATTATGATTTTAGTCATCGTATGACAGGCAAGCTACATTTTTTTCATACATTCAGATTACATTAAACAAAGACATTCAAAACAAATTATCTTATTAAATTATATGAAATACTATAATCGATAAAAAACCTACTCACATATTTTTTGTTTTCTTTTATTTATTTTCGCATCTCTATCTGACATTTGCTTTTTTCTTTACTCATACAGTCAAGTCATTGGTAATATAATTTGTCTGTATTTTTGCCTAGTAACAATAACCCTTCATATCTCTGTTCATATAGTATAGACGGTTTAAAATTGATTAGAAATAATAAAGCAATGCAATAAGTGGAGTGGAGTAGATTAGGTAAAGATACTAGCTGTACCTTTTCCAAGTATTATAATATTTATTTCTCGATCTAAATACCTAATCTGGACCTGACGAATAAACTTAGTATTAATAGTTTCACTAAGTAATCTGTCAGACAAAATGCCATCTCTCTTATTATAAAACAAGGACTACAGTTAGCGCTTGGTTTAAACGATTGGCCGCCTAAAGAAAATTACCAATGACAGAAGAAGAAATATTCTTAATGAATAATGCATAAAAAATCCACTTTGTTCCGGATATTCTGAGATGGGATACTCTGATATGGGTACTCTGAGAGTACCAGGTATGAAGTAGATATTTTAAGCATTTATTAGAAATGCGCTGAGTAGTGGTTTCACCGAATAAAGAATAATATTCATTTTAAGTTTAACCGTACCTCTTGCGGAAAAAGCTAGCATAGACTAGTTGACACCTTTTTATATATTAAAATATTATATAATATATATATAAATAGTTCATTAATATCTAATAAATAATATAAAAGTAAAGCCTATCTGCGATTAATAGTTTCGGAGACAGTACTATGTTAGCGAAACTGCTGCTAGTCGGCCGAAAATACGCCCTACAAATTCAAGGTACTAAGTGGCGTCACACAGTACTACGGTAGCGAAAAACGTATGGGCATCTGGGCAATTTTTATAAAATTGAAGGAAGAAAGACAAAAAGTGGTTTATATGTTAAACTCATTTTATAGTAAACTATTTTATAATAAACTATAGGTATTATGGTGAATAATAATACTTGAGCATGACACGTATTACATGCGAATATAAAATCGAATGTTTTGGTACGATAATAACGTAAATAATGAATATTACCTAGTATTATTAAATACCTGATACGTCGATCGGTTCTAGTAAATACGCCCCAACTCTAGTTGAGGCACAAATATTCCTTTATTTCCTTTGCATATCCACAAAAAAGTTTAAAACGTCATTCTCAAAATGACAAGGGATGTTACATGTCACTTTGATGGTTTCGGATTGCCTTGCGTTACTGTTTTCTGTGTTGGATCTGTGTTTTTATCATTTAGTCCGTAGAGTCAACGCGCATCTCTTTGTTTATAATTGTATGGGGATTTGGCGTTAAGTTGGGGTGCTAGTGTTCTTGATGGTTTCGGGTGACGATTCCAATGGTGGTCGTATATCGCGCAAAACGACGAGATCCCCAAACCGCAAATCCAAAAAGACAGATGCAGACCTAGCGAAAGGGTCAACGTTGCGAAATGGATCGCAACCTTCAGTCCACAAGAGGAATCTTTATGTTGTTTCTTTCCCAATTATCATTTTGTTCAACGTACTTCGGTCTATTTTGTACCAGTTATTCATAATTTTTAAGTATTTATATTCAGCGTCGAATCGGTTGATGCACAAGCCTCGTAAGGGCGGCGAGTGTAACTTAGAGGTGGTGGTAAAGGACGGTGTGGTTTCCACTGAGATAGCGCACGGAGAGGAGATGTCCCACATACACAATGTGGGTCCTGGGGACCCACTACTTGCGAAGCAAAAGCATCATCATCGAAAGGCTTTTGAGTACATCTCAAAAGCTCTCAAGATTGATGAAGAGAACGAAGGTATGAATATCACTAGAAAAGATCTATCTTCCCTTTCAGAGAATGTGAAAATGTCTATTATTTCTCAATAAGTCTTTCTATCAAAGATATTTCTAAATTGAAAAACTACAGAATGTATTCTATACTATAAGAAACAGCCACAAAACAAATTCACATTTATTGAAGACTTATGAATAATTGATCATAAAATATATGAATGTATCTGTATTATGTATTAAACTTCTAATATTTCACACTAATATGAATTAATCAATGATATATGGACTATATACAATTTTAACATACTATAATATTTCAACCAACATTTTTTCCTTTTTAAGAAATAATTAGAAATGGTTATTTACAAATGAAACCAAGTTACTTATTTCTTTTATCACCATTTATTTTTATAGTAGAATATGTTAGAACAATGTAACATCGGTATCAAGAAATATTCTGTCAAATAAAAAAAATACACATTTGCAGAATTGTGTGGAAAGTTGAGCCTAAAGAAAAAAGAAAGATAGTAGAGAAAAATATTATATAAGAAACAATACTTATTTCATGAAAGCTTAAATATATATCCAAACATAAATAACTGATTTCAGATAGATAATTTTAAAATATTAATGACAGTTAATAATGTCATTTTTTGAATTACACAGAGGCTGATTTTGTTATAAATTGTGAGCCATCAACAACAGTCTATTAGTATAAAAATGTGCTTTATAATACTATTTGCATTGTAATGATGTCAACTGTCCAACTGTAAAAGAATCTATTGTTAGCCATACAATCAAAACAAATATTTTAGTTTATACCTACATATATTACATGAGTCAGTCCATATTTTACATAATCACTTACAGGTTAGTGTATAACTTATACTCTAGCCAAATTCAATGATGAATAAATGTAAATAAAGAAAATTAGGGTCATCACAAATTAAATGATACAAAACTCGTATTCCTCACCAGATTACTGCACATTACTTTGTAATTTTATGATTAATGTTCTTTACTCCCATAAATTACCAGAAACACTCATAAAACTTCAATATTTTGACAAAAAAGTGGAAAATAGTAATAAAGCTGACATTACTTTATACTTTACAGCCTTGACTTAGAATTCAGATATTAGAAACATGTTTGCAGTTTTAAAAAACTTTCCAAATAAAGTTGTCAGTTACTATTAAAGATGTTCCTTTAGATTGACTAAATTTGAAATGTAAGCTGACCCTGTGTGAAAGTTAGGTGTTCCTTCCTACTGTTTAAAACGACAAAAGGTTTTTTATTTCCTATAATAATGTCTATAGCATTCATAGCATTGTGAATTGATCGCAACTTTATGAAGTATTAGTACATTTATAAATAAAACACGGTTTTTCACTGGTTTTTGTTTACACATGACATGTTCCTGGTTATGTTAAGACAATGTACACACTACTTCATAATTCAATTGCTGAATTCTATCTCAATTGCTTAGAATAACTCATAAAAATTTAGTATGTAAAAATTGAAAAAAAAAATTGTTTAGTTTAAAAAGGTTATTAATCTGTCTGCCTGTCACTGGTTACTAAGCTATGCTTTGTTAGTAAACGTTCTTCATTGAATTTGGTTGTAGTTAGATTAGTTTTTAATTAAAGTTGTTGTATAAGAAATAATATGCATGACTTGAAAAATTTTGAAATGCTGACTTATTTTAAGGCAAGATTATTAACAGATTGTATTTATATTTGTTTTGATGTTAAAAAAAAACATCAAAAAACATAGGTTATTGAGGTTTCACAAATAATTTTCCTCAAAATCACTGAACTTTTGAGGGGGTAAATGAGAAAAACAAAAAAATCTCAAGCAATAAATGATACATCAAATGAAAGGATTTTTTATGAGAATCACGATTTTTTTTTAAATAATTTGAGGTTATTTAAATACTAGCTTTCCGCCCACAACTTTGCCATGTGGTATTCAATTATCATAGCATGTTATTTTTCATCCCTTATATCAACCCCTCTATGACCAGTTTTTCTCTATAAAAACTAGTATATCTCATGTCCCAACGTCTGCTCTATTTGTGTACTTAATTTCATTAAAATTGATTGAGTAGATGCATGGATACGTAACAAACGTGTCAGTAAGATACATATTTAGTGTGTACTAAACAGAGAATTAAGGATGCAACTACCTCATAAGATAGTGTGCCTGGAAATAATTTTACTTGACCTATGATGTACTAGGACTAGTAGTGTGACAAATTAATAAATTCACCTTGGTCAAAACCACCCATAAAACGTGAAAACAAAGCCTGACAGAAACTTGTTTTCACATTTACTTTAAATTTTACTACAACTTCATTAGATAAGCGGTTTGCGGGTCAGTTTTAATATGTCATCATCTCCAAGGCCCTGATTTCATTGCTATCTTGGGGTAATAAAGAAATAAAAGGTTAATACCCTGCTTAGATGGTTCCTCACTTTCATGTTTCTGATGACCATAAGTCTGTTTTGTTTTTATTTTACTCTTTGACTTGAAAAAGAGGTATTATTTGTATACCTTTCTTCTGCAGGTCAGAAAGAATTAGCTATAGAGTTATACAAGAAAGGTATCTACGAGTTAGAACGTGGCATCGCTGTTGACTGCTGGGGTGGACGTGGGGATGCCTGGCAACGCGCGCAGCGCCTTCACGACAAAATGAAGACTAACCTCGGCATGGCCAAAGATCGATTACACTTTCTAGGTAATCATAATTTAAAAAGCCGACACCACACAAATGCGTACAGAACATGAAGAGCTATTGCATTTATTTTTTAATATCCGAAATTGGCTGTATGTCTTGCATGCCACGCTTACTATTTTTGGTTTAAAAAAAATGATAGCAACACAACGTGTTAATATAATTTAAGTTACTTATATGTTGTCCTTGATGTAGCAAACCTAGTCGCCCTCAGTAAATTGGGTGTAGAGAGTGAACCAGAGCGGAGCGGCAAAAAGCCTACGGAGTCACCTCTAAAGGTCCGAAGACCCCTAGAGAAGTCGAAGACGACGTTACTTGCCCATACAGAAAATAACAGTGGTCAAACGAAGTCTTCGACAGAAGGTAGACAACTATAAAGATTTTGCTTCGCTTCGTTTGACATAACCTACAGCAACGATAAAAAGAAATGAAATTAACAAAAGCTCCCTAACTGGAATTAACCAACCGTTTGAACATAAACGTTAACAATGACGGTCGATTGGATTTTGTGTTTGAATCTGTCGATGTTTGCATGTGGGTTCACCGTGCTTAGCACCTGTTCTGTTCGCTTTTATGTGCACTGCATAATGTGTGAATTCATCCTGTTACATTCTCATTTTAACCATTTTAATCGACCATATTCTTATACAATTTGCGTGTGTGTGTACTTCATGATCAATTTTTTGGTAGGATTAAGGAAAGTATATAACTTCTTTTTTACGAGAATATGCCATCAGACACAGTTTTCGATGTCGATCGCCACACAATTGTTGAAGGTGGTACACTACCATATAAGAGATTGTTTTTTACCAACTCCATGTAGTTTTTTTTTGTTAATCTGTAATGTTAGTGAAAACCATAAATGAAAAAAAAAATTCGAACATAATACTCGACTCGACCATGCGTGATGTTAGATGCGTAAAAATAAATAAAAAATATTATAAAGTCCATCGCGTTGATTCGAGTTTCAGAAATGAGGTATCTCTATTTATAATTGTTTAGATTATATTGAACCAAAACATAGATCCATAGAAAGTGATCTCTTAAATGCTTGAGATTTTATTATCCATTGTCCTCATAAAAATTGAGTAATAAAACTTCGCGGTGCATAAATACATCAATAGAAACATTATGGAGGGTATAATTTCTAAGTCTATTCGATAGTTTTTTTTGTCTACTGCCAAGCTTTAGTATTTTCTTTTGAGTGCTCCATCAAAGAGATTTCATGCTTTATTGTACGAAAGTACATATTTCGTCATAATTGCGACTTTCACTTCATCGAGATTGCTATCTCAAATATCGGAAATTAAGTAAAAGTGACCGAGATAAAGACGTACCGAGTCTAACTCTATGTTTATAATCTAATCTATACACATAAAATGCTTTGCCCTGAATGACTGACGGATCAACGCATAGCCGATATTGCTGATCGTAGAAATCTAAAACTTAGATGGTATGTTTTTGGACGAAAGTATCCGATAAGAAAGGTTTTCCAAAATCTACCCCTAAGTGGGTGAAAAACGAGGGCAGTTTGTATGGGACATCGTGATTCCTTGGTCCAATCTATTCAAATTTGCCGTACATATTCTTTAACGAAACTGATAGAAGACATGTTTAAAATTTTATTGAAATTTATCGCCTAAGGGGGTTAAACAGTGGTGGAAAATTATTTTGGGGCCATTTGCATCGAGGTTGATATCAATACTCTCTAAATACTTTTGATTAAATATTAAATTATAATGCAGGTGACATAAACTATTTATGCGGTCGAAGTCGAGAGAAAAGAGCGAGTTATCTATCCTACTATAATATTATAAATGTGAAAGTTTCTTTGCTTTGTTTGTCCGTCAATCACAGATCACAGAACAGATTTTAATGAAATTAGCTGACTTAGATAATAGTATACATTTTATCCCACTAAACATTTCCCTAGGGACCACACGGGTAAGCCACTGGCGAAAGCTAGTGCTGTATAAAAAACCAAGGTTCAGTGATCTACCAACGCACAGCACAAACTACTAGGTTAAAAAGTGGTCATGACGTAGAGAAGTTTCAATTTAAATTCAACCTCTAAGTCGGATAAAAAGGCGTTTAAAAATATTTTTACAGAAAGCTAATATTCTATATATCCACATGATTCCTGGCACACTGATATGATAATGAGATGATAATGCGAAATTGATAAAATATAACAACTATATTCTATATTTCTGTTGTTGTGTAATGTTATTGTAGTGCCTACTAGTAACAGGTCCTTCAGTCTACTTAGCGTTACATCAGCCAGTGCCATTGAGCACGTACACGGGTCTTGATGAGAAGTGCAATAGAGTGGAGAGAATTTTTAACATACCTGGTTTCAATATATTTTATATGTTTAGTCAATGATTCATATTATATTTGACATGTCATTTACAAGAAACAAAGTTGCTACTCAATTATGGATGGATTACACGACTCACTGCCGAAGCTCTTTCGGCAGCAAATCGATTATTTTTTGTTAATGAAATTTGAGAGCCGCAAGTTGTCGATCCCTGGCTTATACGTTTATTTATCTTTCTAGAAACAAGGTTAAATTTGTATCATAGCGTTTAAATAAGGACAGATATACTTGGTATGAACAGCATTACTTGGCATATTTTAATTTGCAACTTACTTTATAACTCATACGAGTTGACATGACACCCATTCTATTTGTCCAAACGAAAATTTATCAAATTTCGTTTATCTTCGAAATGCTAATTCGAGGTCAAAGCGTTTGGACTTGTATAGGTATATAGCATTTCGAAAATAGGCGATATTTCGTTTTCGGAGCTCATATCTTTTTCACTATTTATTATTTGTAATAACAACAAATTGAAGTCAGAGCGTAAGATCAAAAGTTCTTTTGATTTTATAAAATTAGTCCAAGTGTCAAAGAAATTAAGTTGTAAACTATGTTAGAAATCGGATTTTTTTATTTAAAATAAAACTATTGTCGAGAATTAAAATAAATAAATTCTCGCGATCATTAAAGCCAGTGAAGTCAATGGTGCGTGCACACGTACCCAACCTTCCGAGTTCGATCCAGCAAACGTCATGGTTCACCACACCATACTGAGAATGATACATTATCAATATGACGACATTATTGAAAACCTGTTTGTGTATGTAGATAAATGGCTTGACCTCATTTTTCTGCAGTCCATTAAATATATTTAACGGCTTATTTGACACTAAAGCTTCCGTAACCATTATCTTGCTCATAAGTTCTGGTTGGGTAGACCTTGTAAATACAATAGGAAAGTCTACTAAAACCTATTTTTATTTTTCACTAGCTTTTGACCATGACTATATTCGGGTGATATATTATTTTCAACTACTAAGTTGCCTAACCCCTCTGTAACAATAAAAGGTAACCCCTATTCTTCCCAAGATGAAATCTATCTGTAATAAAATATTTTCGCATAAGTTATAATATTAATTTATAAATAAATATGAAAATATCTCTATTTGTCTATCTATTATGCTTTCACGCCTAATGTAGGGTAGAGTAGGATTGATGGATAGTGTATTCTAGAAAGTCAATTGAAAAGCGTTTTTACCACCTTTACAACTAGGTAAAATACATTTGGCGAAAATGCTTTTTCCATAAATATTGTGCTTAAAAAGTTTTCGCCTGTTAAGCCTTAACAATAGACGCATTACAACATTAATATTGATTTTGGAATGACGTCAGGCTTGTAACGAAACCCTTATTAGACTGTAACACTAGCCAATTTATCCCCTAAATATACACCACCTGATGACTAAGGCACGAACTGGTGTTTTGTACTTTTTCAACGTCAATCGTTATTTGGTGTAATAAGTCTTTGCGCGAATAAGTTTTACCCGGCTTCGGTGTTAATCTGTTGTATGCAACAAAATTTTAATTTTTAAATAATATGATCAATGAAAACATCCTCTTTGTGTAATTTTATCGTAACGTTGTAAGATAATAGGATACTTCTTTTATTTTTATTTCATTAAGATACCATTAGATGGTCATTTCTTGACACATGGCCAGTTCTACTTAATTTTTATTTTATCTTGTTTTTGTATTTTCATTATAATAAATACTGGTGTTTTAGGGTAATCACAAAGCGGGGTAATTCGAAAATGACATCAAACGAGAAATGTGTTTGTTTTATAGATCTAATTAAAGTTTTTATTATATTTTTAATTCATTGTTGACAAAAAAGGAATGATTTGGTAACCAAAGCATATTATTCATTTAAATAATTATTCATTTAAACAACATGTCACTCATTATCTTTCATGTTTAATGAATGATGTTTTAGGACAATATTAATTATTGCTAGAGACGTGGACCTTTATCATTTCGGACAGCACTATTTCAAGATACATAGGCACCTTTTATATATTCTTTAAAATTAAATATTCTTAATTAAAATATTGAATTTATTTGTTATTTTATCAACAGCTATATAAGATTGTATAAACATTTATGTGCCAAACATCAAATAAATACTAAATAAATCATAACAACATTATTCCTCCGATACATCACGACTGTGGCGCTCACAACATATATTAATATTACTGCTGCATTTCTACATAAATTGAATCAAAGTTGAAAATCAGGAGCTCGACCGCTTATCTCTCTAGCCATGATTCTAGCTATAAGATACGACATCTTATCGATGTCATGCCGATATTTCGTTTCATTTGAATACTTTACCTTTTTTTTACATTTTACTTTAGTAATCGAACAAACGTTATATGTATAATGATGATTATGAATGTAATAGCAGAGTTACCAACTTACAGCCAGTTGCACAAAAGTTAATTGAAATAGCATGAAACGAAATATGGTCATTACATCGCTGAGATATCGTATCCTTTGGCTAGAGTCAAGGTTGGAGAGTTAGGCCGTAGGCGGTTGCTCTGCAGTATTTTGCTTATTGAGTATAAATCTCTGAGCTTTTGCCATTTCACACCGTCCTTGCACACACGCGTAATATTTATTTTCAAAGTGCTAATTAGTAGCATGTGTGTTGTATGGTTTATATTATATTATAATTCAATTATCCACTTCAGAAAATGTTAAACCTATCCTAAAAAGTATTAAGAGGGAACGAAAAAACACAATTCTCACTCTCTCTGTCACATATGGGCGCATTTGTTCTAATAATATTAAACTTTAGGTAGATATTACAATGGGAAAATGCAAATCATTTTTATTTATTTCCAACCCTAAATCTATGAGTCATTATTGACCAATTTCAATTTTACCTTTACTCTCCAAGGTGAAGCCGCTGTCCATAACCAACTTTCATCCTTTATTTTACGTCATCAGCTCCCATCCCCTTTTCAGTCGGGGTTCCGCCCGGGTCATAGCACTTCCACTGCCCTTATTAAAATCTAATTCTATCTAAGTTTTTTTTAACTCTAACTGCCATCCGCTTTTGGAATGCACTGCCTTTGAACATCCGAAGTTCTCTGCGTTCAAGGCAGCAGCTCGCAACTTTTATCTTGCTTCGAACTTATTTTCTTGATCTGAAAACAGACTGTTCGTAGTTCTGTACTAAATTTACTGGTTGACTGGTAGATAAGGTCTCTTTGGCATTGAGTCCGCCATTTGTCTATTTTACTAGGCAATTATGATTAAATAAATAAATAACTTTTTAAATAATCATGTTATAAATTGAGGCTTACTTATCTGAATTCTTTTGATTAGGATTATCTTGAAATCAAATTTTCGTCGTGTAATGGTTCCTTTCATTAATAACTAAGTACGGACATATTCGAGAATGAAATTATAATATTTAAGATCGTAATTGATTTTATTCTCAATTTTACATCGAGTGAAAGTAAATTTTGGGTATGTACATATCTAATACAAATACGAAATTGGTCCAGCAATTTAAATCAACATAATTGATAAGATTGAGGCCAATAGTGTCAGGCCTTTACACCCACAGTCAATGAACGCAGATTTAGCAATCAGTACCATTCATAACCGTGGCCATTGTGTAAACTCACAACGTAGTGTCTCATTGTTATAAAAACATATTTTTCAATCTTAGTTGGATTTTGATTCATGCCCATTACGTATCGTGAGCACCTACAGGGGATTTCGTAAAATCACTACATTTAATACACCATAGAGTTCTAGGTTTTCCTGTTATCTACATAAGAGTGACATTAAATTTTGCATATTTTCTTTAAAAAATGAGAACAGTAACTTTTCATATCACAGCGCATATGTTCTTGTGCAAAGTTCACGGTATAATGTTTCTCAATTGTAATAATAAGAAATAATATCTTTTTGTCAAATTGATTGTTTTAAAAATAAACCTCATTTTTGTAGTTATTATGGGCAAACATTGCAAGTTTTACTTTTACTTCTTGTCACGAATGTATCCATAATTTCGTGTATACATTTGTTCAGTAATAATCATAATCTTACTATGACAAATAACTAAAAAATAATAATAAATAGTAACTATGAGCAAATAAATATATTGATACATTGCTTTCAAGTCACGCGGAACAAACCACATTTCCCACGGTAATACTAGTAGTCGGTACCCACTTTTATACATATGTATGCTTAAAGATCGAAATCGCTCATTGAGCGAAAAAATTGTCCACCGCGCGTTGTGGTCATAGTAAAATATCCACATAGAGAAATCCGTGTCGTGGCTATCATGCTATTCAACCGCAACGCGTTGTGGCAGTGAAGAAAAACCATGAAGCGTATTTCAACAATAGATGTTTAGGTTAGAGTATGACAAAGAACTATAACCGAATCGCTATTGCAAAATGAAACAGCTAGTTAAACCAATAATGATCAGAATGCGTCATGGCGTTTCTTCATTGCCACAACACGTTGAGGTCGAGTAGCATCTCAACCATAACACAAATTTCGCTGTATTTATTATGTGATTGCCACAACGTGTTGTGAATTATTTTTTACGCTCAATGAGCGATTTCAATCTTTGAGCGTAACACATACACTGACTAGGTACTTAATAATCTATTCGCCTACTATAAAGTCTAGTCTTTCTAAAAATCACCGTGCTAATCGTTTCTCTTTCTTATTTGCCCTACTAAAACTAAATAAAAAAATAAAAAAAAAATGTATAAATAACACGTAGGTGCACCTACGCATACTTCCGACGACGAATATCCATGATTCTTCCAAAAATGCAATAAAAATAACCTTTTATTTGTTTGGCGCGTTCCATTTATTACGTACTAGCTGTTTTTCCGTGACTTCGCTCGCGTAAATTATAGCCTGCGTCCCCGCGTATGTTATAGCCTGCGTCCTCGCGTATGTTATAGCCTGCGTCCTCGCGTATGTTATAGCCTGCGTCCCCGCGTATGTTATAGCCTGCGTCCCCGCGTATGTTATAGCTTCCCGTAGATGAAATAATTCTTTAAATCGACCGTAGTTTCGGAGCCCACTCAATGCATATAAACAAACAATCAAATCTTTTCTCTCTATAATATTATTATAGATATGAAGGGAATTAACCTTGACGCCTTGATTTATCAAATAATTACTAAGCGAGCTCCTATGATCTCGAAGCTTTTGATTAAGTAGTTTTATTAATTACGATTTTGACCAGGAAATGTCCGTTTTCACCGTGAAGCTTTAACTGGATTATAATATTAAATATGTTTTTGGCTTTAATGTAGCCCGATGGTTGTGGCTTAAATTAAATATTGTGGCACTTAGACACCGCAGCGGTCCGTGTCCGTGTGGCGTCAGCGTTCAATACAAAACATATTTACAAACTTATGTTTGTCCCATATCTATATGATTGGTAAATTCAGTTTCACTTTATTATTAGCAGTTTTACCCGCGTATATTCGCATATAACTATGCTAACAATCAAAATATTCCCTCTATATAATATTAGTATAGATATGCTTTATATTATTGTTTCCCAAAGTTGATTAGGCAACACAACTTTCCAATCTTGGAATCCATCTCTTAGCTATCTTAGAGAAAAAAAGGTCACAAATACATGTCTACAGTGGCGAATCATCCATTAAGGCCCACACAGTATTCGTTTGCGACCCATAGTTTGGAATGAATGAATTAGATAAGGTGCACGTTTTTTATATACAGTTAATACTTAATTTATTTACTTTGCACATCAGTCTTTGTGTCACAATCTTACATCTTCGATCCGGTAGTAGCAGAAACACGAACGAACGGACGGAGTATCCTTTCCGCATTCATAAAAGAATTCTGTTTTTTCTTTAAGGTACAGAATTCTAATAAACAAAATTAAAAAAATAAAGTTAAAAAAAATATCTTTTGTAGCAAACGATATTAAATCGTTATATGAAAATCACGATTATATTTTTTTAATGTTACAAAACTCGTTTGACCTTTTTTCTAAATAAAAAATGTTTAATCAACCAAATACAAGTTTTTGTGAAAGTCTGGAAATTACAACATCGTTGCTTTTTGTGTCTGTAACCTTGTACTTGAACGCCCTTCTATCTGTTTTATGCAGAATTAATGAATTGAAACCCTTCTCGGCAAGAGGTTACCTTCCGTCCATTACACTTAAATAAATTATAATAATATTATTATGCAAGTTCTTTTTAATTCAAAATAGCAAAAGCTTAGCAATTCACTCAATTTAATTGAAATTCAATTCAATTATTTTTGTCTAAGATGAATAGATATCAAATTGTAATAATATGTTATAGGTTTTTACAAAAAAGGGCAAATAAAAAGGGCGTTTTGATGTGTACTTTAGATTTTTAACAACTTAACATTTTCGCCTGCGATATATGTTTTTTATGTGTTGTTTTTTGAGCGCCACTTGAAGACCGATTTTCAATATTCTTTTTATTCGATAGTTTAATGGACCGAGGAGACCAGTAATTTGAAATTTTATCCAAATCGAATCAATTTTCCTCTACGCTTTTCACCATACATCACCTTAATATTTAGATTATAGGTATTATATTTCATTAAATTATCAGCTAAAAACAACAAAATTTTATTGCGTATTGTGAATTAATTTAAAATCCGAAAGGAGGATTTTCTATGTTCAATGTATGTTTGTATATTTTTATGAAAGCAGATATGTTAATCGTTTCCTTGACTTCGCCTGCGTATATAAAATTTAATTTACGCCTTTGTCCAACGCGTGGTATATAGGATCTCGTAGATGAAAGACTTTTAAATCGGTCCAATAGTTTTGGAGCCTATCCAATGCAAACAAAGAAGCAATTAAATCTTTCTTGCCATCTTTTTTTAAAAGTTTTTATTAGTTATGAATTTAATATCATTATAATAACCTAAATATTAATTCCCTATTGTTTTCTTAAAACTTAAAACCAAAATCTGTACTCAAAAACGTCGCTAATTATATACGGACTTAATCATACTATTTCTCTCGAGCTAAAAGGGTACTATTTTATCTTTTTGTCGGCTTCATTTTATACACCGTTGGAACGCTTACTCATTCTGTTATTTCTCGACTAAGAGCTTTAGTCATATATTTCAATTTGGTTGTTTTATCTATTTAGTATTAGTCATTCATAATAATAGGTCTGGAATTAGATTTACTTATTAAAATTAGTTTAATAAATCTACTTTGATTGGGTAGTTTGCCTGAACATTGATTACGCTCTTTAGTAGCGAAAAAGTAACTAGTGCTTGAAAAATTCATCAGTCCTGTTAGGTCCTGAGTGGCTCAATGATTAGAGCAGTCACCCGGATTGCGAAAGATCGTAGGTTCGAGTCCCATCTCAGAGTGCCAGGGACAAAGTGGATTTTTAAGCGTTTTTCATTAAAAAAAATTTCAGTACAGCATCGTGAATGTGAAAATTGATCAAATATAAAAATTTGTTTGAATTTCACATTCAGTACCTAATTAAGAGGGGGCATATAATACATTGAATAATGAATGTATTTATATCAATACACAAGTAGGAGCATCATAAATCATTTAGTGACTAACAAGGTTCATTTCACGACCTAGGTTATACATTAATTTCGACTGTAATCATATGTAGTATACAGTATAAAAAAACAATAAATAACATAAGAATCTACTCGATTATTGATACCGATTCTCATTTGAGAAAGTAGAGAGTAGTGATTATTTTAGTATAGTGTTTAGGCGGTATTTGAACTTTATATTACCAATATATCAATTAGTAACGGTTTTTCTGTTCAGTGGCAGGCCGCAAGTTGACGACGGCCGGGAGGCGAGTGCCGGGCAATGTGGGCGGGCCGCTGATGAAGTCCCAAACGCTGCCTAGGTCGATGGGCAGATCTTCATCACAACCCAACAGTTCCAACGGCTCTTACAGCCGGTACCCCGTCAAGCCGGCCTCTACGCCACCTGCTGTTAAACGACAACTTTCTGTGAGTGTTATTTTAGCAGAAACAATATCTTAAGATAAAAAAATATTAACTTGCCTTACAACTTGGACAGTCGCAATTAATTACAATTTTCTTTGTAGTATGTAGTGTAAAGTATTAATGAGTCACAGCAAGGTTTCACTGTGATTCACCATCATCTGTATTTTCACCTTTGCTTCAGTGAATTTGCCATGAACTTAAGACTTGTATTGTTTAGAAAGCTGGCTCTAGGTGCAATGCCAGAGGAACGTTTTCAAGAATTAATTAAATTTTTCATAAAGATATTATATTAATAATCTATAATTACATCGACATTACTTTCTATTTCCTCGTACATGTTGTCGAAGCGCTATTGACTTTCCATAATAAGCTAACACTAGCAAAATTGTCCATTTGGGCTGAAAACATCGTTTACATATTAAATTAACCAAGTAATTATCTCTAAATTAATATTATATCTGAGCTGTAATAACTGTTATTCAGTGTCAACTAGATCGAATCAGCTATATGGATCCTGACATTCTAAAAGTTTAATTATCCTTTTTTACAGTCAAACACTTTATACTAACTCGTTTAAAAGTTATTTTATATAAAAGTTCACACTAACAGAATTACTATCTAAATTTACAGTGAGTTCATATTCATGGCTTTCATCTTCATTAACATTTCACCATCATTTCATCGTCCCCGCGTCTCATGATCAGAGCGCGTACCAGGTACCTGTGAACGGGTCCCCTGTCCGGAGGGCGGTGGGTGGTGGCTCCCAGCGGGGGACGCCCACGAGAAGTCGGACTCCGCAATCGACGCTGACAGTACGCGGCGTTGACCCCAAGTTGGTACAACTCATCTTGGATGAAATCGTCGAAGGTGGTCCTAAAGTGCATTGGGATGACATCGCTGGTCAAGACGTAAGTTGCACAATGCATACACAAAGTGTTTAGACATAAAATAAAAATAAAGATAGTAACGCATAAAATGAGACATGTATATTTTGTAAAATTAGATTTTAAAGGTTCTCAGTCAATGAGCAAGTATTTAAAAAAACAACATTAGTTCCCAAAATCAAACTAGATGTCACTACGGTAGTTTCTTGGTTTCTCCATGACAACCTGTCCGGTTTTCTTTCATGTAAAAGTTAATTAGTTTTCAAATCTCAATAAACATCTCGTATTCTTTTTGTACTTTTTCGTATTTGTATTGATATCTAAGTTTCGAATTTTGTAAATTTCAGTTTTTTAATATGATAGTTAAAAGGAACGGAAATGACTATCTTTTATCCATTAATTTCCTACAAAATCAACTTTTGCTAGAGTCGCCAATAGTGGAAGTGTTTTTAGTGCTTTCTTTTTTTAATACTTCCTCCACCACCACTATAAGAAAATGTCTGTAAGAAGCACTGTTCAGTTATATATTTTACAGATATCCATTAACTACTCCTTAGTTAGTTATAGATTTTGTTTTGCTTTTCTCTTAGGCTGCTAAGCAAGCACTCCAAGAGATGGTAGTACTACCATCATTAAGGCCTGAGCTATTCACGGGTCTAAGATCGCCAGCCAAAGGACTCCTACTATTTGGACCTCCTGGAAATGGTAATGACAGTTAATTTTCTAATTATTTATTTTACGTAACGTTTAAATTATAATGTACATTTAAATTAAAGAAAAATCAAATGGTACCTAAATGAAAGGAAAATTTAAAAGAATATATTTATAGCTAGTGAGGCGGCGTGTAAATAGCCGAACCCTCATGCGGGATCTTAATTACAATGCGGTTATGAATTTTAAAGAAGAAAAAAAAACGAAAAAAAAAAGTACTATATAGAATGATTGTTCTTAGAGTACACCCGATAGAACTCTGATATAAAATCAAGAGTACTTTCCGAATTGATGTACGCCACCTAGACACGAACAGCCATTGTCGCACCGTTCACAATTATTCTGGTATTCAGTATTTGGGTATATTATGTGGAAGTTTCATTTAAAATATATATATTATTAATGCGGCTGATAAGTAGACTCATTGTACGAAAGTACACCAGATATTCCATAAGCGGTGCACTCATAGGGAAAACAAAAGATAATTTAGAAAAGTAAGAAAAGGAAATCAATAAAGCGGCTTCAAAAATATCATTGATCGGATCAGGATTATAACTTAAAATTTTACAGATGTCGATGCTAGACTATCTTCAATGTATGAGTCGAAAAGATCCAAAATTATTTATAAAAAGCTATTTACAAATTATAATTTGAACAGGTAAAACGTTGTTGGCTCGGTGTGTCGCTGCCGAATGTTCAGCAACCTTTTTCTCCATATCCGCTGCGACTTTAACTAGTAAATACGTCGGGGATGGTGAAAAGATGGTGAGAGCGCTCTTCCAAGTTGCAAGAGAACTTCAGGTATATAATTTTATGGGTCACAACATTAATTTATTTTTATCGAAAGTAATCTAAAACTAGGACGTTGCTCTAATCCTGTACAGAAATAACAATGGCGTTTCGCAACCATCAGTACCAGAAACGATAATAACAACACTACGCAATATTCCTACATTTATGCGTCACGTGCGCCATGTTCGCTTCTGCTCGCGTAGCATGAGCTCGAGAGGCTCGAGTAGCTGGCGACGGCGAGAACGAATCTAAGATTTTTCTCACTTTGTAACTCAAAGAGGTAGTTGGGTAGATATGCCCCCACAGCCCCCCTACATTCTTGAGCTTCTCGAACAATTCTCGAGTCTCTCAAGTCTAAGACATTCCGTATTATATAGATTATAACTCCGATATATTTCTACCGCCTAAATATTAGTTTTGGTACAGCCGTCAATAATATTCGTGGACGAAGTAGACTCGCTGTTATGCGAGAGATCGAGCGGCGAACACGAAGCGTCGCGGCGGCTGAAGACTGAATTTCTAGTAGAGTTTGATGGATTACCCGCCGCCGGCGCAGACAGACTCATAGTAATGGCAGCCACCAACCGTCCACAGGAACTAGACGAGGCTGCGCTTAGGCAAGTATTAGACTTAATAAAAACACCATTTTAATTTAAATTCCTTTGATTTACTTTTTTAATCCATAATTATTGCCATAAAAATAATTCTGTTAGAAAAGTGTCATTTGACCGGCGATTATAGTGACATGGCCTTATGCCTACCGGGCCAGTTTTTTAAACAGTGCTGTTTTTAGAGGCTTTTCTGAATAGAGTTCAGTTCACACGTCTTCTCTACAATCGAGAGTAAATGGCCTGTCCAATTTGTTCCTGTTCAACTCAATTTGAGTCACAGAGTTCTTGTTGACCAGGAATCTGTCTTGATCCACTAAGGGTCATGTATAGTACAGGGAACGCCTTTGCCCCAATAGTGGGGACATTAATTAGACGATATAATTTTAGACGATTCCCTAAGCGTGTGTACGTGTCACTGCCGGACTTGCGCACGCGCAGCGCATTATTACGACGAGTGCTGGCGAGGGGTTCGGCCGCATCCGCTATTACTGAGGACGAGTTGTCGCGACTAGCGGCGCTCACTGATGGATACTCTGGCAGCGATCTTACCGCCCTTTGTAGAGACGCCGCACTCGGACCTATTAGGGGTGAGTATACTGTGGAGTAATAGTGAATTAACGATCAATGAGGCAGCTGTCGCGACTAGCAGCGCTCACTGATGGATACTCGGCCAGCGATCTCACTGCCTTATGTAGAGACGCCGCACTCGGGCCTATTAGGGGTGAGTATACTGTGATGTGGAGTAATAGTGAGTTAGCGATCAATGAGGCAGCTGTCGCGACTAGCAGCGCTCACTGATGGATACTCAGGCAGTGATTTCTCTGCCCTGTGCACACTCAGACCTATCAGGGGTGAGTATACTGTGGAGTGATAGCGAATTAGCGGTCATTGAGGCCTCTGTTGCAAATTCCAGGTGAATATACTTGGAGTGACTGCATATACAGGTCTGCGGGGCGAGTATACTATCGAGTAACGCATTATTATCACTTTTTATTACGCATTATTATCAGCTGGTAAGTTTCTTTCGCTTGTTCTTCTTGTCAACTAAAAGACGTCCTGATCAAGTGGTAGGGGAAAAATTTTTTTTTGACGATTCAAATATGCTTCTGATAGCCTACTTGAATAAAGATATGTTCATTTCATTTCATTTATTCATTCATGTTTGTTGAATTTTTATCTTAATATTCGTTTTCATGAAAATATTAGGATTATAATTCAACAATATACAAAATTTAGGCTTATAAAATGTTGGCTGTTGAAATCAGTTTTGACGTTATTAATTTTATTCCCCAGAATTGGACCCTGAGGAGGTAAAATGTCTAGACCTATCGCTGGTTCGTAGCATCACGTTCCAAGACTTCATGGATGCGTTAAAGCGCATCAGGCCTTCAGTGTCTCCCCACAGCTTGCTGGCCTACGAGAAATGGTCCGTGCAATACGGTGACTTGGGTCTCTGAGGAAGGCGCTCTTCCAATACAGGTAGTGAAAACAAAGCGGACACCCTTTCCTTAAAAATAACATTAAAGTAATGTTTTATGGAGATTTGGTACTCAAAGTTACTTATTTGCTATTACCCGGATTCTGGATTAAAAATTTAAGATGAGAAAAATCTCAAACTGTATTTAATCGCTATTCAAACAAGTTTCCATTTCTGATTTTAGTTGATCAGTCTGAGTGCATTTTGACAAAATTCGGAATTTTAACTTGTTGCATGTTGTATAATATTTATTTCAATATTTGCCCGACCTTTATATCTTATTTTTCGTATTTCAGGTATCGACTACAGAAGAAAGGTGAGTCAATAAGTTTTGAAAAATATTTTGAAATGACTGTGTAAGAACATGTAAGTGACATTACAAAGCTCAATTTCCCCAGTTTACCCGTCATGAACTGTTTTGTTATAACGCCAAGTCGGCAATTCGTGTTCGTGGGAAATTTGATATTATTATATTTGTAATAAAGTATGTTTTGGCGTCTAGTCAGTATACCAGTGTTCGGAGAGCGTAAAAGCATCTTTAAATTATAATGTTTATTGTAAGGAACTGGCTTTGAATATTATTTACTGCGAAAGTTTGTTACCGACGAACAATTATTATTATACTCTTATTATGTAATGAACCTGAAAAGCAATTTCAAGAAGCATACACTTCCACATTTAATATCTGTGTAATATGTCAAGCAATTGTAATGCAACCGGACTGAATAAAGAAGTGCTTTCAGTGTTTTAGATGTACAAGGGAAAAGCTTACGTTACGAAAAACTCAAGCTTCTTTACTCGGTCGGGTTAGTTTAACCTTCTTAGTATAACCCGTCCAGAATCAAAAGTGTGTTATAGTATAGTGGCATCCTGGTTAAAAATGCGCTTTTGAAAAGGCAGTGTTATCTTTTTGGCTTACATGATATTGAAAGAATGGGTATAATTAATAGGAATGTATGTAAAAATCATAATTTAAAAGAAAATTTCACTAACTACTAACTCGCAAAAGATGTAAAAAATTCGGACTTGAATTTGTAATAGATACCATCAATCTTATTGACAGTAAAATGTTGTTTAAATTATTGTTATTTTTTAAATAAGTAAGGACAGCATATGTTTCGAAATTTGTTTCTAAATAGAATTGGATATAAACTGATATAATTTTTAAATATGAATATTCATTATTATTTCGAATCGAATACAATTGATTTAAAGTATGTTCATCGCAAGTAGTACTTACCAGATTTAGTACCGTAGAATATTATTAATTCGGCTGTATATACTATATATATGTAGTTAATTACATTTGTTTTAGTTAGTGACAGCCCTATGATTTAAAAACTTCAATATCACAATAAAAAAGACGGTATAGTAGTCAGTTGTACATCAGTTTATAGAAACCTGTAAATTTTCTCTAATTGTACCTTAATGCGTTGGCAGTAGGGTTTGAAATTATTTGCGATTTGACATTTTATGTTAGAATGATATGTTGCTGTGTGAACATATGTAAAACGCAGACTCGTAAATTGTTTTATTATTTTTAAAAATCGTACAAATTAGCTAAACTTATAATAGGGTTGTCAATTAGAAGTTTTCGTGTAGAATATTATGACATTTTAACATTATTTATTTATTGAGATTTTCTTTATAGTATTACCATTCTGAATAGGGATGACGACTGGGTAAAAAAAAAGGAAATTCTATTTAGTCTGTCAGTCAGATAAAAGAAAAATATTAGATACGTATTTTTTTTTATTTCAATTTAACAAGAAATAGCTTAGATAACAGGCATTAAAGTTGAGGAGTGGGGGCTCCCTACGTCACAGTTTTGTAGAAAACGTACCCTAACGTGACGTCATGCGAAATTTCAACTCAATGTAACGCCGTAATTTTATGAATACGAAAAAAATAAAAAAAATACGTGTTTTATATTTTTTAACACTCTACCTGACGGACAAACAAACAAAAATTAGTCAACATCCCTATTGTGTGACTATAGCCAGTTGACATTATATTTTTGTTAAATAAAGTGGTACTAATGTCAAATACAATGTACATCGCTGCCATTAGCAATTTTAAATAATCGCCTTATAGCGAAAACCTTGCCAAAATAAATATACAATAACTAGTGGACGCCCGCGACTTCGTCCGCGTGGAAGTCGGTATCCCGTGGGAGTGAGAAGTTTTCCCAGTAAAAAGTACCCTATGTGTTATTCTGATGTATAACCTATATTGCTGTAAAGTTTTATCCAAATCCGTCCAGTAGTTTTTTCGTGAAAGAGTAACAAACATCCATACATCCATACTTACAAACTTTCGCCTTTATAATATTAATAGGATTTGTTATTTGTGTTATATAACTTTTTTTATAGTCATCATGAAATTATAAATTGTTGTCGTGTGAATGTTGACATAATTGTATTTATTAGACTTTTCTGTCGAAACGTAACTTGATGATTTTGATGTTAGTTGAAAATGTTTGAATAATTATTATTTCTGTTGATTTTTACGTTATTTTTTATTAACTGTATAGTCGACTCCACGTATTTGAAAACTCAAATCTTGAACGCCTTATATCGTAAATAATACAATTGCAATTGGTTATTTTACACTGAGGTGACGTCGGCTGTACTTATCGGTAATGGATTGTTTTTTTAAACAAGCAATTTTATGAACTAATAAATTTACGCAATTATTGTAATACTGCAGAATCTTATTAATAGTTGATGTATTATTTAAGTATATTAATATAATTTGAACAGTAAAAACGGGTAGTTATCACTTCCTTACACTAAGCTAAAAAGAAGAATTTGTTTGCTCAAAATATACAGTGTCACGACGTGTATTTGAGCAAAAACTAATGATAATATAAAGTGAATATATTTTCATAATAGTTTGTTATAATAAAAAAAATTGTCTATGTCTTCGATTTAATGTTGTTACTGGAACAATATCAATAATTGGACCATTGCATATAGTGTCGAATAAGTGTGCCATTTGTGATTATCGCTAGGAGTTCGTCTGATGGTTGCGTGTTCAACAATCTGGAAATTATATAAACATTTTTTTAAAGTTTTTATCTTTTAAGAAAGAAGAAAATACATTTATACTGTTATGATGGCCAATCAGTACTCTTCCTCAGCATAAGCCGTAACAGTGCACATTACTATTTTAACAGTTTTCTTTAACCTAACTGCGCTTTAAGTTATCTTAAACCTAACCTTTAAGGTAGGTGCATATCTGATCCAAGATGCGTCGCGTCAGTCGCGTAACATCTAATAAAATTTCAAAGTAAAGGAAAATTTTGTATTCTATCCACAAAATTTAGTATGCACGATGTTCGTGACGGTAAGTCATATTCACATTTTTTTAAAAACTTTTATTAAAAAACGGTCATCCTGTTTATAAACAGGATGACCGTTTTTTAATAATTTACCCACAATTATACATTAACTATTATTAAAATAAATAAAGAAATGTTAAATCATGAAAATTTATTATCAAGTTTAATATGAAATTTAAAAAGGATCTGTGTTCTTCATTATTTATAAATAATTGTTCTATGAATGATACTAAAGCATAGAAAAAAAAATGTGGAGTGATAACATTTAAAATTTTATATATACGATATATCATTCCACCTTGCGTCAGATCATTCGTCGCGTAGGTACTAATGCATACTTCAGAGATGCGCAGACCGGATCTTGTATCAGATTTATTCACCTTATGCAAGAACGATAATCATTTCTGTACTCGGCGGAGCTAATAATACGTAAAAATCTTAATAGTATTATTTTCAAATAATTCGTTTAATACAATTATCAATACAAACATAGTTGTATATAAATTAAATGAAATTCATTAATTACATACCATTTTTTTCGTTTATCAAAACTTTCTCTCTTGAAACATGTAATTTTTAAAAGGGTCATATGGCATGTTGAGATTTTTTAATTCAACTATAGAGGCGCCTGTTCCGTGCCTCAATTTTGCTAATGATTAGTTCATAATTAATTACGAATAATCACATTATTCTTTGATATACATTCACCAAATCGTGTACGCCTACGCTCGTTTGAATTACATTTATTAACATTAGCAAAATCGAGGACTAGTATTCACATGTTATTTCTCTGGCGGTTATGACCGTGTAAGCCAAAATGTAGCTAACATAGTTCTCTATAGTTATTCCTAATAAAAGACAGCGATTAGCGGTTAGTGCATTTAATCTAGCAGCAACTACTTCATAGTCGTTAGGTAATAAATTAATGTTGTTTGGAATATATTAACGCTATTCTAAGGTATGTGACACGGTTTGTATGTAATGTATTCTTTTAATTCTTAATATTCAGCTAACTGTTTGTGTTAATATTAACATTATAAGCACAAAAAATGTCATTAACTTTTTTTTAATGTATATTAACATAAAATCATTCATTGATTTGACACTTGTCTTCTATTAAAACCGTTAGAATTTAACAGACCACGTCACAAACCTATATTATATACGCTTCATAGATTTTTTCTAGTTCTAATATAGTGTGATATAGGATTTGAGTTCAGCATTTTAGATAGCAAAAATAAAAAAATATATATATATAAATGGATGTGAACTGCATTTCCAAAACCCCAGTATTTATTTACACCACATGTCACCTTATTCTAATCGATATAGAATTGGTTTTGTTCTAGCACTATATGTGTGTGAGTCAAAATAACTTCATTTGCAACTGCATCTTTACTATATTCTACCGTATCAGACCATACATGATTGTAAATGGATATAATGTGATGAGGAAGTGTGTGGGTAGTTGTAAAAATATCAATATTGCGATACGTACGCGTCCCGATGACGCATTTTGCACGGCAAAGGAGAAGAATGTAAAAATTGACTAGAATCGATTCAACGTTTAACGAGTACTTTTCCTTATTACCTAGAGCAAATTTGTCGAAGAAATTAAACGTAACAACGTACATTCT